ATGTGGTGTCTATTTGTACAAATAGTATGTACTAGTGGGGTAATTTGAACTGTGAATACAATAAAAAAAAAAAAATTATAATAATAATAATAATAATAATAAAATAGACCCATCAAATCAATTTATCGAAATTCTAACTTCAAAGACTGTAATGGTCAGGTCTCTTATATGGCATTATAGCATCACAGGATATTGACAAAGGCATACATTGGGGTTATTGTTGTAGTCAAACTGTAGTGTAACTGAATACCAGTTGTACAGTGGTATCACACATCAGGTTTACTAAATACAAAAAAAATAAAAAAAATACCTTGTTATGGCCAACCACGTAGCTGGATGGACATGCACAAGCGTAGCTATGGCCATATGGGGCAGATAATCCATTGCATCTGAGCTGGCTCCCTGTCAAATTCTTCATATACTCTGTCAACCCCGTGTCGGAAGTGCAGATTCCAACACAGCGCCGACGGCATCACAGAGACTCCTCGCCGCCGAGCCCTGTTCCATCAGGGAGATCCTCGTGCAGACTAGACACGGACATTAGAGATCTACTTTGGAATTTAGATTCCTGAACTGAATTGGCCAACATGCCGGGGAAGCTGGAAACTTCTTGAAATGAAGATGGACAGCCTGGGGACAGACATCACCCATATTGGCCACAAGGTCACTGACCTGGAGGATGATTGAGACCTGCTCCATACAATAACCTCAACCTTAGAAAAACACTCGAAAACAATCAACTTACCTGTCCTCACTTCAATGCTTAATTGATCATTCAGACAACCTGGAACGCCGGAACAACCATAGAATGGATGGTAGCCTACCAGAAAATTCTTACATGTTAACAGAGCGTTTTAGCTTGATTTTTGGGAGAGCAACTGATACACTTATTATGGAGAGGGCCCACCATTTACTTTACCCTAGAGGCTCACACTAGGCTCCCCTCCCCCCCACCCCCCCCCTGACATCATTTGCTGCATCCATTATTTCTTAGTTAAAGAAGACACTGTGCACAACATCTCCACCTCTCTTGTTCCTCAGCAACCAAATTCAAGTCCCTGACTTATCCTGGCTTACTTTACAAGCCCTCAAGCCTATCACCAACCTTTAGAGGACACGCAAAACATCATATAATGCTGGAGTTTTCCCTTTATAGTCACACATAAAGGATTTGCACACTCTATATCATACTTCCAAGATGCGAAATCCTTCCTTCAAGCGCTGGATATACTGTACACCCAGGTGATGGGCTGGTATTCACTTACATGAAACCAGTTAACCTGGTAATCCTTTTATTTTTACAAATGAAGAGAAACAGCATACACCATTACTTGGGGAATACTCCCATCAGAGTGCTGCTGTAGCAGTACTTACCCAAAACAAGAGCCAGCATGGGTCCTCTGCTCGAGCTGTGCACGGCTCAAACACACCATCCACACAAGCCGTGACCAGCTCTATATCTTCACATCTTGAGCGGGCTTCGTGTGCTTTGCATAGCGAACAGTTGTGCGGCGCACTGCATATAATTAAGAGTGCTGCTTGCGGCACAAGCACACTCTTAAAGAGGCAATGAAAGCCGCACAAAGTTTCAGGCTCCAATTGGTCCACGTCATTCAGGCGCCCCATGCACGCACGTTTTGGGGGCACAGGCATGACGTGGATAAATCACAAGTAACTGATAAGGTATTTAAACCTTCCTAGCTCTGTATACTGTGCCCTATTGTGGTTTCTGTCCCTGTACCCTTTAGTGCGTTCCTTAATTTATTGTGTTATATTCTTATATTGAACTTGGCTTTGTTACCGACTCTGCGTTTATCTTTAACTATTTCCTGTGTTGTTTGGCTGTCTGATTACGGTGTAGTTGACCTGGGCCTCTCATTTAGCCGTCTCTCTGTTACCCTGACTTCGTTTTTTTTTTTTTTATTTACTTGCTGTCCTGACTTCTGTGTGTTGGGGTGTGTAGCAGAGCTAATAATAATGAAGGCACTGACTCAGGTGTCACTAATTTGGCCCATGGGTCAGTGTTTGGAGTGCCCTAAACTATTCTTCCCAAACGGGGAATAACCCACAATATACAACATCAAGAGAAAAAAAAAAGAAAAAAGTAAGAACGTGAGGTCCTAAACAGAAGAATAGTAAAACAAAAAGGGGGTCCCTACCTTTAATAGTCCTAATGATGGGAACAATATAAAATGGACAGGGAGAATAAGAGAGACCAAAGAAAAAGCAAATGGTGTGTCAAAGCACATCCAAATCCTAACTACTAACCAGCTCAAAATACCTAGGCAATGCCAAAATCCCATGCAAGCCTAAGTAACTATACATTGAAAATAGAAAGTAGAAAAAACAGGTAATAAGAGGAAAATCACTGCTAGGTTAATTAGGGGATGTAACTAGATGCATCCTAAGAAAGGGGAAGAAAAAACTCCCAGAAGCCCAAGCCCAGACTAAAACCACTATTAAGAAAAAAATCTTAGTTATATACCTCGGCACTGTGATA